AAAGAAACATGTTCTGAGCACATATTCAGGCAGGCACCCAACAATATTGAGACTTTAGAAATGTTGGCATGCACCCCACAACAATCAGAAGCACCCCATAACAACAGCAAGTACAGGACTATATGGTATCATAAATCTTATGATCTGTCTCCCACAAAAGCAATAGAAATCATCATACCTGAGACTTTTGTCATAGGTCATAGGATATTTAAAACTGTCATACGTTTAACTATCTGAATTACATATAGTAAAGGCCTTTCTTTTCTTTGGTGACATAAATGTCCCTCAAACAATTTTCTTCAATCTGGTATCCCCCCAAATGTATCAAGCTATAATTCTCACCATCGTTAACCAACATGTTTCAGTGATTTAACATTTTCTGTGAACAGGGATATTTGGGTTATGAGTCTGCCTTTTGAGCAAAATAATGCCAAGCTGAAAGCTTGGCATTATTTTGCTTTAGAGCTTCATTGCCTTTCCAAATTTAGCACTCCATGTGAACATGAAATAGATGGATCAAAATCAGGGCTCTGCTCTATCTTCAAGGCGCTGCACTTCCATTGAAACCCAGTTCTTTATACCTGACATTAATCCCTCACATATATTGCAAAGGTCAATGGAGCTTAATCTTTGAAGACCAGATCACTTCAGATGGACAAACTGATTTCTAACTGAAAGTTGTTCAATAAAAACACAAGCATTCTTAATGAAAAGTCTGCCATACATTTCCAAGGACGTTCAGGGGGCCACACAAGAGGGTGAGTACATCAGAACAACAGATGCAATCTATCAAACCCAGTGCCCGTGTAGGGTCATTCAAGAGCAGCTGTATGATCCTAGGATACCTATCTTTATGGAAGCTATTAAATCTGGTGGTAGGCCTTTCAGCAGGATCCATCAATGATTCCTTACCATTTCCATGACTGAAAATGGTCACTGGATTAATTTAAAGTAAGCTACTGCTCAGAAGAGCAAAAACACAACACTGGTCTATATTTAGATTTTACTATGAGTCCAGTTTTGCCCTATCTGAAGGTTCAAGAAGGAAGGAAATATGGCTGTTAAATTTTGCTACAGATTATACTATCATTCAAAAGTACCATGTTTGAGGTTTTTGAATTTCTCAGCAAATATGGTCAGGGACTATTTTCACCTAGAATATAAGGCCACATTGTGGTTGTTATCTTAAAAGAGAAGGGCCTTGTGTAACACAGCAAACAGGCCAGGAGTGGATATGGCTGGACTGCAGCAACAGCAGTACCCAGAGCTTAATGAGCACCCATGTGCTTAAAGGCAATCTATAAATCATAAAAAAAATAAATTACAACAGATATCAGAATTTTAATTAGACTGAAAGTGGATACTCCCAGCTCTGACCTTTAGTTGATGCCATTACTCTTGCTCACTATTCTTAAGTCATTCTTACATGTCAGTATGACTTAACAGCAGAGAACAAGAAAATCAGCTATATTTATTTATTTATTTATTTTTACTTTTATCCCATCTTTATTGTCTTTATAAATAATTTTATACTCAAGGTAATTTCAAAAGAAAGTACAAAATGCACTGTCAGAGATCTGGGTATAAGACTTGCATATTATAACCCTTGTGTTAGTTTCACTTTGCGCTAAAACGTTTCCTATTTTTGTTTCCCACAGTGGCATCTATAGCAGCGGCTCCCTGCTGCTCACGCAAGTGGAACTGTGCATAAATGGGCCACAGCCCAGTACAGGGCCACAGCCTCTGGTTAGGGACCCCTGATCTATAGCAACTCGCTGCTTTTTTAGAATGAAGATAACCGCTAACTTCCCCTTTGGGAGCATACAGTACATGCAACATTGCAATACATGGAGAAAGGGGATGGGGCTCACATTATGATGCTACAGCACTGCTCTGCCCTTTATCCATTTGCAAAGCTAGCTTAATAATTCAATGCAGGGTCAGCAATATAGGGCTTGTGAGCATCAGCATCCTTCTGACACCTCCCTCTGTGTTTGGCACACTTCTCATCTTGCTTTAAAGGATCTTTTAATTAAAACATAATAGAAGGCATGCTGCATAGCAAGTGCCAACTCTATCATAATCTTTATTTACAAGAATGCCTCTAGGGCCCAAAAGGCATTATGACTGGGCACATGCAAAACTGTGCATGTAACAAAAAAGACACACCCAGTGCTCCCACGACACCAACCAATCAAGACTGCCCAGACCTGGTTTTATGACATACTGAAGTTACAAATAACCTAGCTGCTAGATCTTCTTTCTTTCTGTGCAGTTGATATGTAGAAGCCTAAACTAAGCACACTGTAAGGTAAAAATAATATGAATAAGAATAATGGGCTATGGAACTTGTGGCCTTATCCTTAACTTTTTATAGGAGTGAAAGTTACTCATGGGTCTGTAATTTATACACAGTAGAAGCTGTATATGTTTATCGCTCCTTCTTTTCTAGCTTACACATTGTCACAAAATAGGGAATTGCCTTCTTAGCCTTAATCTTCCACTCTCTTTGGCTAAACTCATATCCTCCAAAAAGTGCCATTCTTGCTTGTTTCTTCCTAAAGACTGCAACAGAATTGCAAGCTATGAAAGCACCTATGTAGTTGGGAGTTTGTATAAAATGTCACATATATCTATAGTGTTGCGTAGCTTCATCTCTAGCCATGCACGCCTGACAGCTTTGATTATGTAATCCAATGGTAATTGCTTTGCTTCAGAAAAATTTCACTCCTTTACTAATCCCTGGATAGTGTAGCAAAGTTATCTTTGTCTAACTTAGCCCTTCAAAAGGGCTTTCTGTGAAAAGACCCAGTGCTGAAGATCTATTCGCCTTTGGTTCCCAGACTTGGTCATAACTTCCCTATCATTGGCATTTCCCCTCTGATTTTTAAAAGGGGCTATTTGGCATGAAAGTGAGCCTGGGATACCAACATCCAATATATCCTATTGTGCGTATTACACTGTCCATCAAGAAGTTCAGGCTTAAGCTGATGCTGAAACCAATGTTAAGACACAAGGATATTCTTTTAAACATAAGCCTGGTCTTCCCCTGCTACCTTTGCCCCAAATATCTTCTGTTATTGCTTTTCCATGCCCCAATTTAATTGGAAATTCCTCAGGGCAGGGACATGCCTTGCTGGATGGTGCTGTAACCAGCGATGACAATTTGAAGGTTCTCAACAAGCATCATGGAGGTGGAGCTATTGAGCTCCTATGCCAAAAGGTAAACCTTGCTGCCAGGTGAGATTGCCCAGGAAAGAAGGTCTTAATTTATATTTAAATAGTCTACAAGGATCTTTAAGAAAATGGTCTCAGACAAGAAGATAAGATAAGATAAGATAACCTTTATTGTCATTTTTTTACTGTGGGCACAACGGCACACATCAAAAATGAAATTTAGTTGTCCGCTCTCAAAGTGAAACACATACATGACACACACCTAAACATACTATGTACAACATATGTATAGACCCACACCCCTACATATACATAACAAATAATTATTAAATACTGTCCATCTTGAATATATAACGGAAGGAGGAAGCTTGAGAGTTCACAAGGTTAATGCTGTATAGAATGAAATTCTGGCTGAATCTGGATATTCTGCTACGGATACCACGAAGCCTCCTCCCAGAAGGTAACAAGGAAAACAGGTCATGAACAGGATGTGTAGTGTCCCAGATAATCTTATGGACCCTGCTCGAGCAACACTTCTGTGCTATGTCCTGGATGGGAGGGAGGGAGCTGCCAATGATCTTTTCGACCATTCTCACCAGTCTCTGCACTGCCTTCCTATCTGAAGCAGTGATGCTTCCAAACCAGACTGTGATGCTGTATGACAGGATGCTCTCGATCGTCCCCCTGTAGAAAGTGGTCAGGACAGGGGAAGGAAGATGTGCTTTTCTCATGCGACGTAGAAAATGCAGGCGCTGCTGTGCCCACTTCACCAGTATCTCGCTGTTGAGCGACCAAGCCAGCCTACTTGTTAGCTGCACACCCAGGAATTTGATGCTGGTAACCATCTCCACAAGTGAATCATTAATGCACAGAGAAGTGTGGCTGTGCCTGCCTTTTCTGCCTTTAGACTTCTACTTATTTGCAAGGTAAAGGCATTTGGGAAAGACACGGTTGCATTCTTTATGGCAGGCTATAGAAATACTATATAACAATAATTACTCTCAAATCGGACAATGGATATTTTATTTCCCCAATTTCACTGGCAATTTATTTGGCTTAAAAACAGCGAGGTGTATGAGGTGATTTTGAAAAGCTCAGAAATGGCTAAACTGACACAACTCTTGGATCACAAGTTACATTTAATCAGTTCCCTTTGAAAAGACAGTCTAGATTACTCAAATGTTAATTCATTTGCAACAAACAGTGTACCCCACAATACATACCTCAATGATACGATCTTGAGGCCGCAGCCCTGAAGCTTCAGCTGGAGAATCTGGATCCACAGCCCGGACATATTGGCCTGGCTTTGCCTTATCACTGTGGAGGTTGAACCCATACCCATTGGGGCCCTTCTTCATCTGGCAGAGACGAGGTCTCAACTCTTTCTAAAGCAGAGAAACATAAAAGGGATTTGGGGTATCAGTTTTCACTTATTGTCAGCGAATCAATTTCTTTTTGATCAGCATCTGTTCAGATTTGAGTCTTGCCATCAGCAGTCCTGCAATCCAATAATGCAAATTTGGGCTCTCTGGAGGAGTGAATGGTGTCCTTGACAGGGTGGCTTTCATAGCTTGGTGCACGCTCCCAGAAATATTAGCAATACAACCACTTATGAAGTCTGCCTAATAAGCCAAGATAAAAAAATAGTAGAGAAAGAGGAAATAATTATCTACTACTATGGGTTGGCAATGCCCTTCTAGTTTATTTTACCTTTCTCACTGCCCGCAAGTGCTATTTATGGAGGAAGGGGAAAAAAAACAGCCAAAGGCCAGGACTGCTCAATTACTTCTCAAATTCTTTCTTCAAGGTTGAGAGCACTTTGTTTCTTAACCTTCTCTCCACCCATTCCATGGGTGGTCCTGGAACTGAACATTCTGATCTATATACAGTAATGTATTTCCATGGTACCACATAAGATTTCTATTTAACAAAAGCTGGGATTTTGTACAGAACTGCATTACATAAAATGCTTATGTGCGTTTACATAACATAGGCACATAACTCAAGTCAGAAAAAAACATTCATTTTTCAGCAAGGCCTTTCTGAAAAGTATACCATACATGCCAACAGGAACAAAAAAGAACAATTTGACCTTCAGGCAGATGAACCTCAGAAATTAGAAGGGCCCTTGGAATGTTTACAAGGGGAAGCAATTTGGTCTTTGGGGCTAATTAAGACTTGTCAAGGTTAGCTCCAGTTGAATGTTTACTAATAGTTCCAATAACATTTGCAGGAACACATATTGTAAGCAGTCTTCCCTTACAGCATTCCTCTATTTGACTGGGTCACTTCCAGATGCTACTCTGATCCAGGTTTCTTTCTGGATCACAGGCAGGACAGTGGAGGTTAGAGCATGACAGCAGGAGCCCTAACCACACACTAAAGGTGTCAGAAGAAAGGAGAAGCTGGCACACCCAATCTCCCACACAGCAATTTCAACCTCATCAGATACTGAAGCCAAGCCCAGTGACGGAATCGGTGTGAGGTTTCTGGAGAAGCTAAAGCACTCAGAAAACTCCACCAGCAACAAGATTGGGCCCAGATCCTGCCAGAGCTATCTCACTCATCAACATTGTGTGGCTTATTTACACCAAATTTTGCATCTCATGAAGTGTCTCCCAGAGAAGAATAAAGCCAAAGTGTGTCAGATGTCACGTAACAGTGATTTCTTTCTTTTTTTCCTGCTTATGTGATCAGATTTATTTATCTGGTTCTGCTACTGCCTGGTTTGCAAAGATAATCTTCTTCAGGTTGAGTTCAGCTTCTAGTGATTTCATGGCCACATAGATTTCTTAGCAGCAATGCAAATGTTTTTCAAATGCTCAATCTAGCTTACAACCCAGTGATTCTCTGGAGATCGCCTAGCCAACTACTAACCAAATCTGACCCTGATTAGCTTCCAATTATCTTATCTTATCTTATCTTAATTATAGAATTGTTAAGAAAAAATGAAGCGCTCTCTCGATATTATAAACCACCAGCGGTTATTGGAGCTGGATGATATAAACATATTACCTAGCACAGTGTTTTTTTTCTTAAAAAAAAAAAAAGGTGCCGGAACTCACACATGTCATACAACCTGCCTTGCCTACTCTACAAGGTTCCATCCAAAAAAGGTGGTGAAACTCCGTTCTGGGCATCCTATGAGAAACAAAGCCCTGACCTAGCAATCCTGACTACTACTGATCTTCCTACAAAAGGAAGAGAAAGCAAAGGTCACACAATCTCATTACTCGGAAGGAAGGAAAGAAGTTCCCAGGAAAATGTTAATTCTGGAATTTTTCCCATGGGTAGATTTGGTGTTTTATATTGGAGAAAGGAGGACATGAATTACATGTATAAAACAAGGCATTGAAATCTGAGGAATTTGGTTCCTTCCAGAGCTGCCTTGGTGAGATAGGCAGTATAGAAGTCTAATAAATAAAATAACAAAACAAAACAAAACTTGTTGGCTACAACTCCTGTTATCTCCAGTTCATATGGCCATGTTTTCCAGCCTGAGGAATCCTCAAATGCCATACCTAGAAAAACTCTCAGCAATTCAGACAACCTGATCTAAGGTAGGCTAGTGCAGACCATTCGTGGTATCCTTTCATGCATGTCAGATCACAGTTATTTGCACAGAAATATTTGGGAAATATTTTTCTTCCTCTATTGAGGGCTGAATACATTTGAAATCAATCTGTCTGCCAGTAGGAGAGACAACTGAATGTATCCTCGGTCTAAGCCAGTGCCAAAAGGTTCTGGGATTACCCATGTTGTCTTTTATGTCTGCCTGGTGGGAATCAACATGCCATGTCAGAGGCCTGGACTGATTCTTGCTCTCTAACTCTTATTCTTATGCATGGATTGTGCTTATTTCCAGAACAGCCTGTTCTGCATTCAAGAAGTCTATAGTTGTGACACAGTCTTCAGTGTAACCTCCTCCTTGCCCTAAATGTTCTTCTTACGCAGTTGTTACACAAGGCAATCTGTATGATCTTTTATTAGAAACTTAGTTCTGATTTGCTAAGCACGCTAATGGAATCGCTGTCCTTCCCACAATGAGGAACGACCTATTTAACATTCGGTAGTTAATTATGGCTTCAAGCAAAGCCAAAAATTTAAGAAAAGCAGCATCGTGATCATCACCACCTTAGTTATTATTAAAGGATACAGACAAATGTTCAGAAGAGTCCAATGGAAAAATATGCAACAGGAAGATGACTGCTGCAAGCACACATAATCACAGGATGCAAGCTGAATGTTAAGATCCTGATCATCCCATAAGAAAAGGAAGAGTTATACTGGGGAGCTCCAATATGTACATAGGGGGCAAGTAAAATCTTTATAGAGGCTTTTCTCCCACATTATATTAAGGGATGAAACTCAAATACTTTGGCCACCAAATGAGAAGAGAGGACTCATTGGAAACGACCCTGATGTTGGGAAAGATTGAAGGCAAAAAGAGAAGGGGACAGCAGAGGATGAGATGGTTAGATAGCGTCACCAACCCAGTTGGGTGAGTTTGGACAGATTCAGGGAGATGGTGGAGGACAGGGGAGCCTGGCCTGATCCCCTGTGGTCCACGGGGTCACAAAGAATCAGACACAGTGACTAAACAACAACAATATTAAGGGGCACACTATGCCTTCTCTGCCTTTTCAATAGACAGCTGTTTTAGTTACCCAGTAATCTGGATCTGAAATCCTTTTTTAAAAAAAATTCTCAAAAATTAGATGTACCTTCTAAAATATGCTAGCAGATACAAGAAAACATCCCATATTATAGGCACATTTTACACAAACCCCCAAAACCCCAACCCAACTACAGAAGAGGCTTTCTCTGAGATTCCAACTCTTCCCACAGCTTTTTAAATATAGGAATCAAAGGATTAGCAACATAGGGTTTCAGCTTAATTTTCCATATATTTGGCATATCCTTTGCTTTTTCTTTTTTTTACCCAGCAGGATGAAAAGGGAAGAAGAACAAGAAAACTGTCTTGAGGGATATATTTGGATTGCTTCCATATCTCTGGAATGATTGCTGGGAACGAAGACATGGACACAGGACAATTGGTCTTCGCCACCCAAGCTCCTCTGAGCAGGCGCACTACAACGCTCAGAAACAAAAAAGCTTTATGCTGTCAAAGGTCAATATACACGGGTGAATATCATATTTTGTTTGTTTGCTTGTTAGGCACATACAAGGAAAGTCTTTTTTTCAGAATGGCATTAAGTTAAAAAAAATCTATTTAGGTTTTTTTTTTTTGTTGATAGCAATGGTAAAAGAATAGACCTCTGTTTTGATAATAGTGATGGAGGCAGCTGCCAGTCATTCCTTCTAAAATGCACCACCACTTGTACACCAAAGAAAAACGGCAACTACCACAAACACACAAGATGCCCATTACGCATTTTGTCAAGCAATAACAGTTTTGCTTGGATCAGATTCAAAACAATCTCAGCATCTGTTATCTCACATTTTTTATTTATATTTATTTATTTTAAAAAATTACATTTTAAACATATCAGTTTCATTCCAACAGCAAAATTCCCTAAAGATGCCCTTTTAAAATCCTTTAAATCCACAAATTGAAAGACACTTTCATTTTTAAAAAATGTTTTACCTTCTGCAGAGAGTAGATGAATGGCCAGGCTAAGCCTCAGGCAACGTATACCCTGCTCCCAACCAATGGCATCCCAGCATAATTTTACCAAATAAACAAAATGCTTTGCTTTTTCCTCCCTCTTTCTGCAAAACTGTAATTGAGATTGGGCTGATTTCCTCAAGTCTGCTCCAACAGTTCATCTCCTCACCCATTCTCTGGGCACCTCTGTGTTTCAAACAGTTCCAGAGATTGCAGAAGAAAAAGCATCTGATTTGTGTTTTATCACCCAAATTTGGGGGGGGGGATGAATGGTAGTAGTGGAGGAGGAGACAATATTGGTATTCTAAAGAAAGCATCTTGCTCAATATTCCTTCTATGATCATGAGAGTTATGTAATCAGATTTTAGCATTGAAACCCCAGGGTTTTGTTTTTTTTAAAAAATGTGGCAAATTGTTTCTTTGAAATACCTTTTAGTGGCTTTCAAATGGCAGAGACAAGCAGAGTCCAAAAACCAAAAAAAAAAAAAAAGTTCCAGCACTTGAAATTCAGCTTCTTTGATTCCAAATTTACTAAAATGGAGTCTGATGAACTTTTAATGCCAAAAGTAAAAGTCTGGAAACTGTGACTGGTTATAGAAGGCAGGGAAAATATTGTACTGACCTCCAACAACCTTTTGAAGCAGAACAATCCCAAACTCTACTACGCAATTCTCATACACCCTGATCAGGTCTGAGATCTTGTGGTTGAGAAAAACATACTGGTACGCTCTGCTGTTCCAACTAAGGTTAGTTACA